TTTTCACCTTTTTATTTAAATAATTATTCTGTTCTTCCTAGATCTCCCTATGCTGCATTTAATATCCTTTTTATAGCTAATATAGATCAATACTGCTGTTTTTGATGTAATTACATATATTATAATCATATAAAAATATAATTGATATTAAAATATATATATATATATATATACATGATTTATTATTTATATTGTTTATTTGTGTTGTTTATTATTTACAGTTTTTTCAGTTGTGTTAAATATATAATTTCTATATTTATTTAATGTAATAATTTCTATGATTTATACTTTATTATTTATTTGTATTGTTTATTTTTTTTACAGTTTTATCAGTTGTGTTAAATATAAATGTTTATTACTATTTGATGCTGTCATCCTAATAACATAAAATCATACAAAACATAATATAATGTAATAATATCCTAATTTTGAGCAACATAAACACTGCTCTGCTTAAGTGAAATGTCTAGTCTGATCATTATATAATGTAAAATATTGTGCCCCAAAAATGGCTTCAATGTAGTTCGCTTAGCTAACAACTTTATCAAAAGTGTAGTTTGGCTATAGTTGAAATGATCAGTCGCAGTGTCATGCATAAAGACCTTTAGATGTCAAAGCTTTCTACAGCTTTACTAGAAAACTGCTAGCACTGCTAATACTGCTGATATTGCTAACTCTGGTTGTGTGTGTCTCCTGCAGAGGAACTGGCTTTGGCTTTTGTAACTCCATGTGTAAGCTGGCCGCAGTCTTGGGGAATCTAATATTTGGGTCGTTGGTGGGAATCTCGAAATCCATCCCGATCCTGCTGGCGTCGTCTGTGCTGGTCGTCGGAGGCCTGGTGGGTCTGCGGCTCCCCGACACCCGCAACAACGTCCTCATGTGACCCCACCACACCTGTGACCTCTGACCCTGAGTCGTCACGGAAACACGCAGGACACGCTCAGGGTGCAGGTGGAAGCGACTGTGACGTGTTTGCTTCATTTATTCATTTAAAGTGTGTTATTCATTCAGTTAGAGATGTTTATTCTCTGTTGAACTTGCCCAGTTCAGATCAAAAGATTAGATTTTGATGCCTTTGTTACAGTATATCAAATGTTATGATGTTATGAAATGTAAAAACGAAAAAAGGGTCGAAATCTGTTTTTAGACGGTGATTTTTCGACCTAATCTGGGTGGGCAGAATTATTTTTGAAAATTATTTATTTAATTAGAAAATGTAGTTATTTTTTATTTTTAGGATTTTATTTTAAGCTGAACACAAAAAAAATTCAGGTGATTTTAATGTATTTATTTTGAAAATTAAAATGTTAATTTTCTTGAAATGATACGAGAGTTAAAAAGGCCATTTAGAGATGTAGACATTAGCGATTACAGCTTTTTTTGTTAGCATAGGTCCGATTCTCCGGTGACGTCCACCGAAACATTAC